TACCGATAATGGATAGCCTAACAAAACCTACATTTTAATATACTTTAATATGATCAGCCCCCCCCAATAGTATTTAATATAGTAGTATTACCTGAATCTCCAATCTCTGTGTGCGGCACTCTTCTATACCCGAACTGAGCTGAGAAAACGAGCAATAGACTGGCAAGCTAGGTAATTCTAGTACCTCAGGGCTAGGCTCACCTCCCTCATCAATACTTAAGGGAGGAACTAATGAAACTGACAAAAAGCATTTGCATTGATTGACTGATGGGAATAATGAAACAAGAAAGTAAAACAGCCAAATTAGGCGCCAAATTAAAAATCTGGTTGTTTTGTCGTTAAACAACCAAATTTTGAGAGCGCAGCTTGAAGAAATATTTTTATACGAATTGGAAAGTATGTGTGGTGAACGACCAATTAATAATCGTATGGTACAAATAAAAACAGAGGTTTGATATAAAAACTGGGCAAGTGGACGGTTAGATTGTAGATAGTTAAGGATAAATCTTAGTCACAATTTTATGTAAAAGAAAACTCAGATTTACCATGTGCAGTTTGGGAAAGGCAAATAAATTATCAAATTAGGGTGTTGACTTTTGAGTCCCAGTCGGATTTGAGATTTCTTTTGCACAGCACTGGTTCCTTATCAGGGCCTAGTGGTTTTGGTTCACATTTGTTCAAAAGTAAGGGATAGACAGCAAGGGTCGACAGAGTCCTCGGCCTCGGTTTTACCGAGGAATAGCAATTTTACCGAGGAATAGCAATTTTTCCTCGGCCTCGGCCTCAGTCAGGAGGACAATTCCTCGGTTTGTCTCGGCCTCGTTAAATTTTGAAGATTTTAAGGGTCGACCAAGTCCTCGGCCTCGGTTTTACCGAGAAAAAAGCGATTTTTCCTCGGCCTCGGTTTTATCAAAGCAAAATTTCCTCGGCCTCGGCCTCGGTCGCAAATCCTACCCTCGGTCGAACTTTGATAGACAGGCTAGGAGAAGTGACCTGCCAGAAAAGGGACCCATTTATAAGCTGTATTTCAACACATGATATCTTACTATTATATATAAAGCGAGACGTTATATGTATGTGGGCAATTTCGGGCAAATGGTAACCAGGATTAAAATATAAAATTTTTAGCAATTTATTTTTCTTTGATTATATTTTGAAGCCAACCGTTTGCACTACCAGACATAAAAGACCGTTTGTAAATATCTTAATTTTCCTTTTTCCTATCGCATTTTGAAATTGCTGCAATTATTAGCAATTTTATATGTTAAAACTGCCATTTCTTAGAGATGGATAGATCGAAAATGGAGAATATAACTTCCTAACAAACCATATTATCTTTTTCTATTAGCTACATCAGGTAACATTTAACGATTACAAACTTTTTGATACATGATTTATACCATTTCTGATTTATGCGCTCCCAAATATTTTTATTTTTTGAGTGAATTACTTGACAGCGATTACCAAAAAGTTTTTTTCTGTGCCAAATTTCCATCCCTTTTACCTTAAAACTGCCTTGTACTTCTAACTTTTATTGCAGGACATGATCAACTAGTTTTTTGAATGGATGGGCCTTCCAGTTTGTCAGTATAGGTGTCCAGTAATTCACATTGTCAAGTAATTCACAAGTTTTGTCCTGTAATTCACATTGACTTGAAAGAATTATATAAAGCAATTTACGATTATGTAATGCAATAAGTGATGTCAATAAGTAATAATACATTGAAACTGGTAAAAATAATGAAGTTTATATCAAATTTTGATAATTCAATTCCATTAAAATGGTAAATTTAATTGTATTAAAAATTGTTAAAATACTTTTAAAACATGTAAAAACTGTGGTTACCTTTTTTTGTTCCAGGATATAATACCGATTACTATGCATGCTGATAGAAAGAAATTTATATCAAATTTTAATAATTTAACCCCATTAAAATGTTAATAATTGCAATAAAAAATACCAAACAGTAATTGGCCAATTAACAAATTAGTAGAAATTGAAAAATCATGAATTATACTGATATCTCTTCATTAACTCAAAAGAACGTAAGTTACAAAGCAGGGTGCAAACAAGAACCTCTTAAAGCAGCAAAATCTGCACTGAAAAGGCACACAGTGAATTACTGGACACAGGAATGTGACTTACTTGACATGAATGATAACATGTATATAACAATTAGAGTTTACATGGATAAACTTTTCAGTAAAGTAACCATACATACTTGCAAACAATGATTTAGTGTTTATGTACACCGCTTATTACACATTCAGTGTACACACATGGGCACAAAACGTGATGTTTCTGCAGAATTATAAATAGTGTAAATTTTGCCCTGTGAATTACTTGACATTTTCAAATGCCCATAACTCATGAACTACAACACATAAAAGGTTGTGGTCTTTTGCATCATCAAGCAAATGGTTCCACCTTGCTTTATAACACCTTTTCATGCTTGTATATTATTCAGATGGCCCTGTGGGACCATTAGAATCTACAATTTCTATGCAAATGGTGAATTACTTGACGCGAAATTGCTGCTAGGAGAAGTGACCTGCCAGAAAAGGGACCCATTTATAAGCTGTATTTCAACACATGATATCTTACTATTATATATAAAGCGAGACGTTATATGTATGTATATATCCAAACCATTTTACTGACACCACGGCATCAACTTTGACACAAATTTCTGCAAAAAACCGTTAATGATATACAACTTAAACTTTTTTGACTGGTTCAAATGCTTTAATGGCCTTCGAATCAGCATGAAAAAAAATTAAAAATTGGCCAAAAAACAAGAATTTTGGTGCCCAAAATTTCCAAAATGCGAATTTAATAGGTAATACTTATTTTGACACCACTATAGGGTTAAGGGTTCCTGCTAGTTATTATAAACTAAAACTGTGGACAATTTTTCAAAATTTTGGGGAAAGGAAAAAGGAACAGTATATCAAGGTTTTACTGTTACATGTAGTGTATAACCTTGATTTACAGTAAAATATCGGTTTACTGTACGGGTATCGGCCTTACAAAATGACAGGCCTCACAAAATGACAGCCTACATAGACCATGCTGTAGCTTAGGTTCCCTATACATTGAATACCCTATTCCTTTTACTGTATGAAAGAAAAAGCATTAATTAACACTTCCCAAGGAATGATAATGACATAGAATCTATATTTCTTACATAAATATGGACGTTTTTGCTGTTCAGTCATTGCCCCGCCTAACTGTTACCCAGAATAGAGACCAAAGTTTTGAATTTAACCCCAGAAAACCAGGTACTACCATGACTTATGTCAATCAAAGACTACTCTGGTCAAATAAAAAAACTGATTTAGTGACTTTGGTAGAAGAAATGACAAAAAAATGACCTAGCCTCACAAAATGACAGTGTTATGCCACACAAAATGACAGTTTTATTTTATGATACAAAGATGGCATATTTATATTGGATGCCCCTTGCCTAATTATTGGTATTCTTAAACCCAGTAAGCTCATGATGAGCCTAAATGTGTTTGTTTGATCATCAATTTTGATCAAAATGCCTCACAAAATGACACCGAAAAGCCTTACAAAATGACAATGTTTCAGATTGAATTATTTTCATCATCTAAAATGGATCAGAGACAGTCAATACAAGAAGGAGTTAAAAATAATCATAATCTGACAGTTAACAATCAAGTAGCATTAAAAAAGTGCAGTTCTGATATCAAAACTTTGATTTCAAACTCTTTGATTTCAAACTCTGATTTCAAAACTCAACGAAATAAAGCTTCTATTTTGTGAAAGCAGAGAGTAATAACAACTCCTAAAACATGTCAAACGTTAACTAAACACTGAAAAGTGATCTATCCAGTCATAGAAAATATCAAATATAACCAAATACTGTGTTCAAGTATGAAAACAAAAAATGATTTTTACGCCTCACAAAATGACGTTTTTTAAATTTTTTCAAAGTATAAAAAATGTTCCTTTTTAAATATATTTTGGTAAAAACAGAACTGGTATAATATAAACAACATATATATCTAACAGTAAGACACGTGAAGAATAATGAAATTTTTTCCCAAATCGGATTTGAAGTGATGCCGTTTTGGGTTGTCATTTTGTAAGGCACTATCTCACGCGAAATTGCCCAACTTTTTTTAATCATCCTTTTTCCTGTAAAAGCTATTCTAATCTTCAATCTATTATATTTATCTAACTGTCCTAGGTGAAATCAAATTTCTATAGGCTGCTGTTAAAAAATGACAGCCGTGACGAAATTGTCATTTTGTAAGGCATGTTTTTTTGGAAGATTTCAAAGATGACAATTTTTATCGCAAAATTTACGGTTTTTCAATCAAATCAACCCCCGGGAAGAAAAATATACCTGTTGAACTACCTATCTGGATAATAAAACATGAACAAAACTCATTTTTGTGCATTTCAGAGCCATCTCCTTTTTCGTGTCATTTTGTAAGGCCGATACCCGTAAGACCTTAATTTACTGTAAAACTTTAATTTACTGTTAAAACTTTATCTACTGCACCCGATTTACTGCAAACCCTGATATAGCACCATTTCCTTTCACCTAATCAGGCTTTTAACATACATAATGTAAACAATTGAAACCCTGATTTTGCCATAAACTCTGATTTACTGTAGCTGTTTCCTTTTCCCAAACTCCGTGGTAAATCAGTGTTTTACTATATTATGTATTGTGATGTATCAACACTATACCTGGTGTCTTATTAGATTGTAAATTTTGGTTTATGTTAAGCATGCTCTCCCATGTTATGATTAATTATCATATTATGTTGAAGTCATATCCGGTTTGCCCTATTAGATGCCACTTTAAACTTGCATAATGAACTTGTGTTTAAGATTATAGAGGCAAAATATTTTCAGTGTAGGAAATTCAAAACACTTAGTGTTGTTGCAGCTTTAAAATATGTACAACACACTAAAAACACTAAGTGGGACATTAGTCACGATATTGTAGTCTTCCATCTCAGGATGTAGTAACTTACACACTAGTTGGAAACTAAAGACCACTCTGATGTTTTCGTTGGGAGCTGATGAAGATGACCTGGATTTTACTCCTAGCAATGGGTCTGGTTTAATGAGCTTATTTGGGAGGACTTCAAGCACTGGCAGCAGTAAAAGTGACAGTCTCAAGTTCAGTGCTCCCAAACAACCGAAACCAGAACCCAAATCCGATGGAGCTGGCAGCGGTTAGTATGATAACTACAGTTAAAATGTTTTAATACAATAATAACTCTACCTGAAATCTTACTCTCACTGAACGAAAGTTGCTGACTTGAACTTGCATATATTGATTAGATTTATAGTTTTATACTTTTTCCTAACAGGATATATTTTCAGGAGTCCTATTTGCTAGTGTCTGTCAAACATATCTCTACCAAGATAACAGCTACAATCCTAAGGGGAAGCTTGGAGTAGCTCTAACGGGTTCCAAAAGTGTCATTATATACGGCCAGAAACAAAGAGTTGTCTCCAACTGCAAACTGTCTCCAGACACATTGTTCACTATAACTGCTGCTAACTTTCTCACCTACTATGACGACGCCCAACAATGCTGGGCTGTCATGTTCACCAATGAGAATGATCTGGAAACGTTTCTCCAGAAAGTTTCCGTTGTGAAGTTTGGATTGGGTAAAAAACTATCAAAACAGCAAGTTAACTTTGTAAAAGATAAAAGCAAATCAGTGGGTACCACAGATAATGTCACGGTAGGGTATGTTGGACACCTCATTGAAAACGATCAACTTGGCACACAGTTTGACACCAATGAGTCCTTTCTTGTGAAGTTATCAGCACCAACAGTAATTAAGGGCTGGGTTGAGGCCTTACCGCAGTGTACAGAGGGAGGTGTATACTGGGTGTGTATTCCTGCTTCACTCGCTTATGGAGACAAAGGTGTGCCTAACCGCATCCCCCCAAATAGCGATCTTTCCTTCAGAATCACAGTAAAGGAAATCACACCGATCACTGTAGCAACTGCTCCTAAATCGCCCATCTCCACCTCCCAAAATATGAACGATTTCACTGATAGTTCTTCTGTGGACAGTCTTCCCACACCCAAGAAGAGTGCTGTCAATGGAACGCAGAAGAACGAGATCTTATCCCGAATGGCTAGAATGGGTGCCCAGCCTGCTATGCCCACTGCTGCCAGAGTAACTTCTAGCCCTGACCAAGATCAGCCAGATCACACTGATGAACTTAGGTCTCGAACGTCGTCAGTTAAATCAAACAGATCAAAAAGAAAGTCCCGATCATCAAGTTGCGTTGTTGGAGAAGAGAAACCCCCTTTAATCCCAGCCAAACCAGGGCCTCTGGTACCCCACTATACCCACGCAGGGTATCCTTCTTCTGCCTTTCCTGCTTTTTCAGCAGTCTCACCACATGTTATGGCAGCTCCTGAGATTAAAGAAAACCTGGACATTAGTAAGAATACGGATAAAAGTGTTTCTGCTATTGAGGCTTCGCTAAAAGGGGTAGAAGCAAAGCTAAACATGCTTTCAGAGCAAGCTATATTCTTTAACAGCACTGTAGCAAGTTGCCCTACTGTTGACACACAGCTCCTGATGTACAACTTGCAACGAATCGTTTCAGAAAATGACAGTTTGAAAACAGATGTGAAGAAGAAAACAGTAACTTTGGAAGAGCGTTCAGGAAAATAACCGAGTTGCTGAATAAGAATCAAGAGCTTTTGAACCTGAAGAATGAGGCCCTGGAAATGTCACAAAACAATTTTATGGCTACCTCGACAAATTCTTCTAATGAAATTCAGCGGTTGGAACAGGAAAATGAACAACTGAACAGCGAGTTGAAAGTTTTCAAATCTTCAAGCAATAATCGCCAATTTGAGATAGATGCAAAACATGACCAAATAAACGCTTTAAAATCTCAAATTGAGACCATGTATACAGAGAATAACAAAATGCAAGCCAGCATGTATGAGACAAGAAACGAATTGTCGGCCCTTAGATTAACATCTTCTGATAGTGGTGGGCAGGAAGCGATCCTTCAGAAGGAAATAGCAAAACTCAAAGAACGAGTCCAGTCTTCTTTAGTTGAAAAACTTGAAATTTCCCAGCAGTTGGATGACCAGCTTTTTAGTGAAAAGCAGATGAAAATGAAATTTGAAAAGAAAATTCGACAGCTCCAAAGTCTTCTCGAAGATAGCCAATCTGAAAATGGTAACGAAAGTTTGGTCCAGGAAAATCGTCAACTCAACGAAGATCTTCAAAGAATAACCAACAAACTATCGGCAGAAAAGGTTACAACGGCTAGTCTTGAAAAGCAGCTGAAAGAGGAAAAAGCCACCAGCTCGAAAAGGTTAACAGAAGAAAGTGATAGATTATCAAGTAGGGAGGAGGAGTTCAGAGAAACTGTCAGTGCACTCAACAGAGAGATGGAAGATTTGAGTAAGGAACTTCGTGATAGGGACGATCAGATTAAATCCATGGCACTGGAGCTTGAAGACAGAGGCACCAAGTCCGATAAACCACTTTCTCAAGCCAATAATAACTTAAAAGAGATGATCAATGTGAAAGTGAAAGGGATTCTGAACGTCGTTTTCAGACAGTTCAAAGAGAAAGTTGATTTGGAAGGTTCGTATGATGGTCGCGATGTTCTTTCTCTTATCATGAATGTTCTAAAAGAGGCTACTCTGTCTTTATTAGCTGACAGTTCTGATGAGGAATCTGAATCCGATGAAGAAGATACTGATAATGATGATCCTGATGAAGATGATGATCCTGATGAAGGTGGCGATCCTAATGATGGTGCTGATGATTCACCTCTTGCTGAGGAAACAGCTCAGATGCAGACTATTAATTCTACCGAATTTGAGATCCCTGAGGCGATTGGCTCTGTATTTCCACATGAACAGCCTAATGCATCAACTGCCAATAATGATACGTTTTACTCTGCCTTGGATCAAACAGCAACTACAGAGGAAGGTGAATCTTCCAACAGATCTATTGAAGCAGCTCCTCAAGACGAACATCCTGCTGATAATGCTGATAATGCTGAAAATCCAGTTCAGAACGATTTAGATCCCTCTCAAGTGCACCAGCGCCAGGGTCTGAACACTGAGGAGTTTGAAGCGCGGGAGGAGGAGGATTTGTGGATGGCAGCGCCGCCAAGCGAACCACCACACAGTCCAGCACCAGCCACTTTCGAACCCAATTTTCAGCATAATACAGTCAGTGTGGAAGATATCACTCATCTGTCAACCGAGGTTTGTTTCTTTGTAATTCCTGAGCTTAATCAAGTTATACTTAATAAATAATCATTGGAATTCAATACATTTAAATCATTAATCGCCTAATGAATTAGGGTTAACTCCTGAAGGATTAAAATGTCAAGTCATTATCTTTTTTAATTAGCTGGTAAGGATTAATTCTACTGACTGTTTGACTGGGGATGTGATCTGTTAGCCAATAAATAGTCTAGATACTATATCTTTTTGATGGCTTCACATCTCTGATCACCCTAGTGTAATCGAATGTCAATTATAATTACAGCTTGGCTTCAGACACATGTATTGACCGGCGTCAACAAATCGACCAGGGTCACAATAAGGCCAGGTTCTGCGTGTATATTGTACAACATACAGCCATGCGTCTCCCTTCTGCCTCTTTGTTTTTCTGTAAATTACAGCTCATTGTTGCTGTAATGTGAAGACATTAGGAGTGCACACGTGGATAGCACGTGGTTAATGGCTGCCACGTTACACTGGGACCAAGTGGACGATTAGAGAGTTCTGTTTACTAAGGATGGGGTCGACAACAATTGGCTTTGTGTTCTGTGTGGGGCCCAGGACTTGGCGCTGGGCCTATGACCTTAGGGAATTGTTACAATGGAGATGTGTAGCAAAATTGTAAAATCTCACAAACCTAAGTTTAGTATTGTTAAACTTAAAGTATGCAAAATCACATTGCAGGATTTCTATCATGCAAGGGCAGTTAATTTACAAAAGTTAACAGTAAACAGAAAAAGTGAAAGTGAAACTCTCAGGTATTCGGAGCTCGTCCAGAACAAATGACGACGAGTCCCTCGAACACGCGAAGAGAAGGAGCTAGTACCACACGACGGGCGGACGGACCGCCTCCCCTTTTTAGCGACAGTGAGGATGATTTACTAGACATATAGAAGTGAACAATCAGACCTCATTTTCTATAACTGAATCCGAATAAAAGACACGTTGGTGTTGTATTGAGTGTTTGATTGATGATTTTGAATTTGCGAGCTGATGTTGGTTGAAGGTCTGAGATAATGTCTTGTGAAGTAATGATTGATGGCCAGATTTTTATCGATTTTTACGTATTTTATGTGTGATTAAATTTAATTTTATACTGTTTTGTACCTGATTTTGTCACAGTTTAAAGACAACATGCCAACAAAAGTCATGTTGTGCAAGATTTGTCCGTTTATGAATTTCGGTGTCATGTTAGGTATATATAGATAGATTAGGATTATACAATGATTTCGATGAAAATTAACATTAATTGACGTTTATGTTTGAATATCCATTTCTTTGAATTCTCATGAGTGTTGTTTACAGTTTATCTAGGATTTTTGTGAGACATTTCAAAGTTATCGTGTGTGAATATAATTGATGTTATGGAAATTGTTCTATTATGTTCTGTCGAAGGAACGACCTTAAATGAATATATGTAACGTACTTAGTGACACTCTCCAAAGCAAAAGTAACACATAGAGAGCAAAGAAATTAGGTCCCTAAATTCTACCCTAACCTTAATCCTGGTGTCGGATATGCATATAAATGTATGTATCTATATACATATGAATGTATGTATCTTTTATAGTAAAAACTAAAAGCAAGTAATTCACAATCTTTAATTTCACGGAAGTTAAATCAATTTTCCCGAAAATTAGGGTCTACTTAAAATGTTCAACGGAAGGCGCATCGTCGGCTTATTATAAAACGGTGCGCGCACGTGCCGTCACATTGCATGATTAAATGTTTTATTCCGATCAGCTGAGAGCATGTTTCCACCATTTACGTTCCAAACTTACCATAAAAAAGGAACATAAGGAATGTTCCTACTTTGTTCTAGAATCAGTAAATTCTCTCCAGACAATGGGAAAAAACGGTTTATATAATTTCCCTGCATAACTGGGTCTTATTTTTAAAATAGGCTACCAGATTACGGTCCTACTTCAAAATATGGCCCTTTACTTCTACAATCGAGGTCCATTTGACTCCTAATTTGTAGTGTTTTAATAAAACGCTTATTTTTCGGTATAATTTTAAATGTAGCTCGTTTGATCCTCATACCTCAGTTTAAGTATCGTGCGGATACCTATTGGAGAGCTACTGCAGTTAGGTCGCATAATTTTCAAAGATTTTACTATCCTTCACGGTGAAATATTTACGTACCGTGCTCAAATGAAACAGTAAAACAATCAAATTTGCTGGTTAAAATATTCTCAAGGACCTCAACACGTTGAAGTGACGTCACGAATAATACACAATTTCGGAGTACCTCCAAATATACTTCCTAAAACTATTGGTAAACACGTTGCATGTTCATCTTCTTTCACGAGCTGACATTACCAGCCATTCATATGTATATATACAAAATTTTAATCTACTATTAAATAATCTAGATTAATATTAAGAGTTCATTTTGGTGATTATGATGTCAAATCAATTTCAAGTGCAGGTTCGTTCATAATCTAGTTACATTAAATCGTCATCGGAAAAATCAATTGTCAGAACATACATATAATTTAGAACAATCGAAATTTTTAATACATAACAAATATGAACAACCACAATATGCAAGTAAATCAATAAATTTAAATAAACGCATCAAAGTGATAATATATTTGTCCATGAGTCGTATCTGCTCTAAGTCTAATCGTGACTAAATTCACAATTCAGGCCGCTGTTAATTCATCATTCTGGGCAAATCCTCCGTCAATAAAAGATCCAATGACCTATGTGAACTGTGAGTCATTATTTGGTTGAAATTGTAGCTGAGATGGTCTCCTCCGCAGTGATTAGTGTCACAGAATGACGCAGCAGGAGGCCTCTGAGTACTCTTTCGTGGGGGGACGTGTCACTGGGAAGGAACTGTCGGCCTGCCTCGTGTTCACTGCTCTCCGTTCCACTAGTTTACTGTGGGTAATAGACAAATTAGAAATAGTCATATACAATGAAGTAATCCGGTCAGAGGCCGGATTGAGCTTGACGAATTTACAAAAATAAACCAACGGTAAAATTATAATTTGTCATAAAACTGCTGTGGTGGTGAGATTGGATATTGGAAATTACGTGTTAATATATAATCTCACTTTACCTGACTAAATCATATCCTAGTTGGTTGATGTTCCGTCCATCTTTAGCACTCACTTCAACGAAATCGGCCTCGTAAAACTGGGGATAATCCAACGTTACGGGTCCTTCACATATTACGTAATCACTTTTTGGACAACTTTTAACCCCCCCCCCCTCCGTAATCAGTTTCACACATAGCTGTTGTATCAAAATTACACTAGCGTAATCATTTCGAAGCCCCCCTCCTCCCTTTATCAAACATCTTTATCCTCCGTAATCACAAACCCATTGCACATATTATGTATTACATAGCATAAACATTTCCAAACCTCGCCCTCTAGGTCGCTTACATAACAAGTGCCGAATGACACACTGAAGTGTGAACTTCGTACATAATATGTAATATAGAAAGCTTTCTTGAGAAACACAATGACAGATGAAGGTACTTACATTTGCGAGCTCAGTAGCCATTTCTCTAGACACACACCGCAAGTGTTCGAGGTCTAATTTGTTGCCTATGATTGTCATTGGGGCTGAGAGTTGGCCGGACTCCTGGGGAGTGATAGGTAATATAGATAGGGAGGGTTGAATTTTGAAAGCTTGTTGCAATGAAAGTTATGGATATGATTTTTTTCATTATAATAGAAGTTTTAAGGTTGAACTATATTGACTAACATTGGCAAAGTATAGTGTGCAATACCTGAATGCAGGTGACCCAGTTTTGAAGGTTGAGAAAGGATTCTTCGTGAGTAATGTCATAAACTAGGATTATACCGTCCACCTGGACAGGTTTTACGTTAGCTAATTAAATAATCAATTACACCTTCTAAATATGAATAACTTAATATATGAATAACTTAAATTCCAAAGCTAGTCTGATTTTTAGGATTCAAATATATTGCTACTCAAAAATATATCCATTATTAATTAACGAACCTTTCTAAAGTAGCTTTGCGTTATTGATCTGAATCGCTCCTGCCCGGCCGTGTCCCATATTTGAATGTTCTCTTCTGTTCCGTTAACTGATATCACTTTCGTCTTAAAATCTAAACCTGCCAAGTATTACAACCATTAGTTACTGATTGTGTAGAAAATGTAAAAAAAAAGTGACCGTTTTATTTGACCGGATGGAACACTGAAACAGATTATCATTCACGTTATTACTACTTACCAAAACTAGGGTTCATCTTCTCGTTGAAGGCATCATCACAGAGTCTGAGCATGAAACTACTTTTGCCCACCCCGCTGTCTCCCACCAGGATTACTTTATGAGGTCCAAGTTGAGGCGTCTCCTGAAATGGTGAAAGTGAACATCTCTGCATGAAAATTGTAGATCTTTTACATTGAAAAGTGGGATTGAAAAACAGACAATTCAAGGCACATGATATTTATACATGTAGGACGTATTTCAGTCAGACAATTTCACACACTTGCACCAAGAACTATTTACAGTTTCTTTTCAGAGATTTATCTGTAACTATCTAAATGTCTAAAGAAAAAACTGTTGACCTCAGCTAGGTCTACAGCTAGGTCTACTTCAGTGCTGTTTCACGTGTTATTAAGCTAGGTTACAAATAAAAATTCAAAATAAAAGCGGCGCACTTCAGGAGTTCAGGGTTGTGATGAGTTTATAACAGTAGTATTACTTGCAGAACATCTTACAAAACCACAGAATAAAGAGAAATTAATTAAAATGGCTGTCCATATTACAATTACCTTAACATCGGGCTTGTTGGGAGCCTCAGGTCCCATAACAACGGTTACCAAGCAACAGTATTGAAAATCACATGGCCAGGTTAAATATCGACCAGTCTGTACGACCAAAACTACAAATTACTTGAAATTAGGAAAAATCTTGTACGAAATGAAAACTTGATAAGATTCGAAATAAATGTTATGCGAGTATATTAAAGAAAATGAATCGGAAGAATAATAGAACGCTGTATTTATTATTTAAGTAAAATGCTAATTACTATATAAGTCGACTATCTGCTAGTAATGATGGACTCGTAGAAAACTATACGAGCCACAAGGTTACATACAATGTAGCCTAAGGATTGTAAAGGTTGTAAGGTTGTTTAGATTGTAGTGTTCAATTGGGAGCATTGTTTAATTACTTAAGTACAGTATCGTCAAATCATGAAAATTGTTTGCGTCTTTATGTACCGCGGATGGGAGCACTTTAATAAATCATATGCATTGTAATGATGAAGTTTGGTGAATGATGAAATTGGATCACTAAATTAATGTGTCTCATTCAATTTAACACCCTACCCACACGATTTGAAAAATTGAGATGAGGTGATGTGACCCTTACTGTCACCAAGATGTAGCCAATTTCGTTCAACGTTGAGATCGTTCACAATTAACGAATGCAACATTTTAGCTGTTTAAGACCCCCGTCACTGCGAGTCCATCATAAACAGCCTAACACGTATTAACCAACTTCAGTAGAAGTTGCCTATATCACTGTAGCTTTAGGAAAAATTATACACAATTCTGTGACCATGGCAGCATGGCACGACAATACTAACACTAGCAGAGGTCGGGACAGCAGCAAAGTTAGTCTGATGGAGACGAGGGCTGCTGTTAGCGTGGTTCTGGTTCCTGTTAATCACCAGTCTCCTAGTCTTGCCAGTCAGCACCAGGGACCTCGCCCTCAACCCTCCTCCTCCTCCTCCCTGGTTCAGGTTCTCTTGTGAGGGGAACGCTTCCTGTCTGCACAGGTTCTGTTTCTTCGCTGATTTCTTCCCCCGTTTACATTTCAGGTCCCGGAAAGATTTTTCAGTGGAACTGGCTGTGTCTGGTTTAGACAGATCTTCTAGACTTTTCCAAAGTTTCGCTTCTGTTTTCACATCAAGAAACTGCCTGATTTCTCCCACTGGGGTTTTATCATCGTCTGCATCTGGTTGCCAAGATAACCTACGCTGGTTACCATGATGATACACATCCCCACCATCAAACTGATATCCATTTAACTCCAACATTTCTCTGGAACAGACACAAAATCCAAAACAGCACCAGGTAGAAACCACCAATAACCAGCGAGACACGGAGCAATAAATAACAGGTAAACTATAGCAGGTCCTTGAATCCTGGGGTTATTCGCCTGCTGCAGTGGAGCTCTAACAACCAATACACACTATATATAATATACTCTTGTCTCCCGGGGGATCATTTTTCAAAATAGTAGATTGAGTAGTAGTAGAGAGCTCCCGCTCACACGTGAACTTTATCCGCGTCTTGTCTTCAGAATTAGGTAGCTGTACGCTATAATCACAGATAATCATGTAATCTGATAATTATCAGCAGCACGTGAGGACCCCAGTAGAAAAAGAGGAAATAATGAGTGATTAGTGGGGTTTAAATGATCCAGTGCCGAAAATAGGGCAATGTGGGCGTAAGTCAGTATGTCAACAGGTGTTGTGGGGAAGATAACATTGCAGGTAATCGGACAGTACTTTGTCGAGAGGGAACCTCCATAATAACAAATAAATCACACACCGCCCCCCCAAATATTCGTGGAATAACGGCTGCCAAATCTTAGTGGAATTACGACTGCCTGCTACAGAGCATGGTTCTGTTATTATACGTCACGATACTTTTTGTTGAGATGAGAAGACCTCCCCCGATAACACAACTCTGATACTTAATACTATTGTCAAGGTTGGTAGCTATGACGGTGGAAGTTTCCATTGTAATGATTTAACAGATGACAGGGGGAGAGCCGCCGGTTAGTGTGTAGACGGTTATCCGGTGCTAACCGGCCCATTATCATTACCCACTAAATCCCGGACACTTAGGGGCCCTTAATCGGGGCCGCCCGTTCCTGATCTTTTCGTACCAAAATGTCCAGAATGATAGTCAGATATTAAAGTATTAATGATTATTGAAGATTATAGATTGAATATAGCATGGATATGTGGTATGACAGCAACCATTGGTGAGCTGCAGCTGACTGCCGTACCCCAGAGACCGGGGGAGTTGACAAAAGAGTGCCTTGACCACACAACGTGCAGGTAACCAGGGTAACAGCTGGTGAGGAATCCAGGGGTACCACAACACGTGATAACCACGTGACCTTGTGTTTAGAGGAATACAATAGAATGGCAGATCAACAGGGGTTACATGTGTAATACCTTAAAACATGTGGGCGGCTGTTATCACGTGGGATCTTAAAACACGTGGGTGGCTGTTATCTTAAAACACGTGGGCGGCTGTTATCGTGGGATCAAGTGTTAAATTGTGCAGACGGGTTCTGGTGTAATTTGAGTGTATGTTTTTGTGCATTTAAGATTTAATCATTTAGTGCATTTAGTGCATGGAAATTGTAGTGTACAGAGCTGTAGAAGTTTAGAGTATGATCTATGAAGACTTTCTGTTAACCCAGTGCACATGTTAAAGAATGATAAGAGGCCCACTACCTGACTGACGGACCGAGTAAACCGAACTATAGTAGAACTTGTAAAGTTGGCTGCTGGCTCCTCCAGATCATCTTGTAATGGCAGAGTCATGTACATCTCCACCGGGAATCAGCTTTTAAACGAGGGAAGAAGCTTCTAGAAAACTAGCTCCACAAATGCAACAGAGAACTAGCAGGCTGAGTACATTCGGAGAAGCAATTAATGTGTATTACAGGCTGATTCAATTAGCTAGACTTGTCCTGAGTGAGTTGAGTTCACACTGGAGATACAGCTTACAAACTGTGTCATATTTAAAAGTTTATTAAGTGGGTGGAGCTGGCTGAATCTGAGCTTAAAATCTCGGTGGGTCGGTGGAGTGTTAAGATTGCTGTGTTTACAGAGTCGAACAATGAACTGAATTAAAAACGTTTGGTAGGCTTTGTGGGAAGTATATATACATCTTTAAGCTGAAGCGATACGATTTAAATATGAAATAGAAAAAATAATGAATATTCAATTTAGAAAATAAAGAAACCGCGTAAAAATAAGAGTGGAATATGTAAATAATAACCACATAAAATTAAACTTATGTCCAATTTAAAAGGAAATGTAGATCATGAAGGAACACAGAAGTTAGTAAAGATCGAATAGTCATTCAGGTCACACAAACACACGACAACTTCGCCAAATGCACTGAATAACCGGGGTAAATCTTGTCTGCAATAATACAGTTAGCGAAGTATAGGAAATGAACGATCATCTAGCTGCGTTAATCACGACTATCAAAGGAAATGGGAAGAAAATAAAACGATTCGAGCAAGGAGGAGGAGGAGGAGGAGGAGGGGATGCAAATAATCATATTATATATGTTATAAATTAATTACAAGGAGGGGTCTATAAGAGGCTTGTGACTGTACAAAAGAGGCTGTATGTGCAGTACATACAGTCGGTCAGCTGTACAATATTCAATACAAATGGAAATGCAAGAGAGAGAGAGAGAGAGAGAGAGAGAGAGAGAGAGAGAGAGAGAGAGAGAGAGAGAGAGAGAGAGAGAGAGAGAGAGAGAGAGAGAGAGAGAGAGAGAGAGAGAGAGAGAGAGAGAGAGAGATTACACAGCTTTGGGAGCTTTAGAGCTGACTCTCAAGGTGTCCAGTATGACTAGCTGAGAGTGAGCTTTAACAGTAGATCTACACTAGAGGTGGAGCACTCGAGGACACAGATGGAGCAAAATGGAAATGCAGCTATCAGAGATTCGAGAATATTAGACATATCACTGCACGTCTCCTTCAACAGACCACACGTTCCAATACTGCAGCACTTTCAGTTCTGTTATATCAGCAGCAGATTAGGCAATATCTTATGAGCAGACAGCCTGATCTAGTGAGATACACAGAGCAGTTTCAAACGTCACTAAGTTTTAATCAGTGGGTTCTTTTTGGACTCCTCTCACATTAGAGACTGACATATTGTTACATTAGAGTGTTCAATACAAAGCTAAATCTAAAACTCTTGTATAGAGCAATAGCAAGCATCCCAACTCGCCGGAAATAAGCAGCCCGTAACTCTCACTGTTCATTTAATCGGCACTTTGGTGCAAATTAAATATCCTACATACTACATAGGGCCCGGGTACATGTAGTCCAGTAGTAGTGTAATGGGTCAATAAGGCCTTGGCAAACTTAATCAGCCTAATCACTGCAAAGTGTACAAAATCAAAACATGGCCCTTAAACCTACCACAAGGTAGCCGGGCCACGCAACAAAGCTAAGACTACAGTTCTAGCGAGAGCATCAAAGCAATTTCATCGTTTACTAGTATAATATGTAAACTACAAGATACGAGGGCTGCACTTTGTATGGTTACATTTGGTTAGGGTAAGGGTTATAACA